GTTAATGCACGATATTGCATAGTCACGATCGAAATTTTCGAACTTGCGCATTTTAAAGTTCTATTTCAACTTGAAGAATCACATAACATACCAACTTTTCGTATGATAAACGAAGACTCATATCAAACATGTTAGGTGCTTTGATAGACAACTTCGTACCTGGTCGCTCGTGCTTCGGAGCCTCTTATATTAGCTTGATTTTGAACATTTCTGATCGAACCCAATGTGTTCCGGTTCCAACTTGGCCTGTATTAATTATGTTCGCTAATTAGATCATTAGCTAGCTGATAAACACCTACTTCCGCGCGTTAGATATCTAAGTAGATATTTTGTCGTTGAGGATAAGATTGTTTTTCGATGTTGAATTATTTGTGGGATTCCGACATTCTACCTACCAAGCACGGCAAGCAATATTACACGTCAGCGACAAAAATCTAGTTTGACTACGCAATCTTCTAATGTTTCTAATTTTCTACCGACATACGAACTTATGGAGTTACATTGCATGACTATATGCAAATGAAAAGGTGACTTGAAGTTCCAGACGAAGCAATTCTATAGATAATAAACCCAATTATCAAATAACAAGTCTGAAAATAATGTATGCGTTAGGGATGTTGGATCTACCAGGGACATTGAGCTATCATATTAATCTGAATCTACCGTTCCTACGATGATTACAAAACACTCCTTTCTAATTGAACTTGGTTGAACCTAATCCCAACTATTAAACAAAGCCATTGAATTTGATCTTTCTTCTTGATACCTGCGACGCCATCATGGGCCAACCAACTCCGTGCTGGTTCATAGTTGCTCATGGCCATCTGAAAGAGCCGAAGAATGAAAACTTGACCATAAGTTTATTAAACGTTAGATCTTCCACGTTCACCTAATGACATAATAACCCTATTCACTGGGCTGAACGAAGGTACCCTTCTATTCCTAGGTACCAAATATGAATGACCACTTAAATAGATAAGCCGTATTCAACCACCATTCGACTGTCTTTAGTGACGGAACCAAATGATCCGACGTAGTGTTTAACCGGTTGTCACTTGAGGAGTTACAAGCTCCTTCGCTCAAAGAAATAATATTCTCGTACTTTGAGTTGTATCTCGTCCAAGCCAGTTTTGGCATGACTATCACTTGCAGAATAAATTCGGTACTTGGTTTGTCTTCAAACTGCATACCGAGTAAAGGGGTACTTTTTTTTATGCTGTTTACAACAACCTAACTCGACTAACATGAGCAGAAACTCCTTAGAAAGAGCACATGTTTCGACCATTTAATGAATTGTTGTGGTTTTTACTTATGAATTGCTTCACAAGCTCTCTCCCATCCGATACGAGATTTCGTTAATTTACGAATCACGTGTTTTGCCATTCTAATGAGCTATATTGAGTTGAGACGTTTTATTCAATCTCTCCTCAATTTACTGGACTGTATGATCTTTGCTTGAAATCTGAAAGCTGGCTCTTTTCCCTCCTTCCCATAAGACGTTCTGAATCGATTTCCTTGAAGATCAAACCGGAGAGGCAAGCTTCAAAGTTTCCTTGCATGGCGAAGCTGGAGATTGAGGACGCAACCGATTCCGTTTCGAGATTGCCTAGCCGGACAGCGGAATTTATGATTAATTACGCGAGTTCCGCTTAAAAGTGGGAGTCATCAACATATTTCTTCAAGCAAGAGCTTACAATACGTCGATGAATTGACTGGTGAAAGAGACATCGGAAGCCACGAGTGTGTTCATACATCCAAAGAGTGCGAACTAAGCTTTGAGCGTTGGTCTTTACTACCCGATCGAAACAATCCAACCAAGCATGGGACAGGTAAAGATCGCAAGTGGGTAATTAAGAAACTCAGCGCTAACTTGTACGCGTGCATTAAGTGAGGGCCAAAAGACTCGGTTTGCTGAATCAATACGTGCAGCTTGAATTGGTACGTATTGATGACTTGAATGATGTGGATTTGACGAGCAAGCTTCGTGTATCATTATTTTCGTTGGCTCTTCTTGATTCTGAACAGATGTTATCGACAGTACTTGCGCGAATGGGGAAGGAAAGATTGTGTGGAGTGTCCATGGAAGTTGCAGCGATGGATTGTTCATGGCGGCGAGAGAAGAACGGACCCACGTTCTGGAGTGACAAGAGTAGGAATCTCATGAGTGCTTGTCACAATGATTCAGCTTAGATACGGATCTTATTGTCTTTTTCACGTGGAATCTTTGTTATAATCGAGAGATTCCTTGAGGAACCTCCATTGTACCAACCTCACGCAGCCATTTTAATCGAATTACACTCGATTGCGTGCTGATTGTGGCTACATGAGGTGCGACGGTTGAATACGTTTCCGCCGCGAAGAAACCATTAAAATTTTGCCAGATGCACCAATAATCGGCGAGTCAGATCCCTTGCTTACGTTTTGTTAGGTTTCATGAGTCCCGTCACAAAAATTTCCAGAGGTTAAGTGCAGCCGGAACTTCTCTTTTCAATCCGTGTTCATGGAGCTTTTACTTTTTAGCAGCAGATCATCAAAGTATTTGATTGAACATAAGCAAAGTTAGAGAACTCCATCGTAAAAGCCTCAAAAGATCCGAGGATCAAATCTGAACTCAACCCACGAAAAAGTCTCATTCGCTCGGCTGTTGGAGAGAGAGAGAGAGGAAACAGCCACTCGTTGGCTGCAAAATCTGACTAATTTGGTTGGGAGCTTAGGTTTACGATTAGCCTAGAGTTTATCGCTAGCAGGGGCCTTGGCGGCCTGTCCTACAACTAGGTAGGCTCCACTAATGCGTTCCTTATTTAAATGTTCCGGTGCCCGCATAACTCGGTCTCCCTTGTTGAGTTAGTATCTTTTTCTTGTCTTGACCCCGGCAATAGCCAACTTATTTTTACACTTCGTAATCCAGGTGTAGCCTTTTAGGCTGCGTTTGGTGGGCTGGATAAAATCCCAAATAGGATAAAAGTTATCATATCTAGTGTTTGAAGTGACGCGAAATCCGGATATGATCGGATATAGCTCGGATATAGTCCGGATAAAAAAATCCCACGTAGGGGGTGGGATGGACCCAGATAGGATATGTAAAATATAGAAAAATTTAATAAAAAAGAAAACTAAATTTCAGAATATCGGCAAATTGCTATCCTTACAGCTTTTGCCCTCTCTTTCCGCATCTCTCTCCCTCTTCTTCTTCGAGTTTTTTCTGCTCTGTTCACGTTCAAGACTCACCCACCACCACATGAAGACAAGAAAGCTATGAAAAATTCTTGAAATTCACTCTGCTTCACTCCGACTGGCGATCAAGGTTTTGATTCTTTTTAGTACACCGACGAAGAGGTTGAACGCTCATTTGAGGAGTTTTACTAGAATGTTCATACAGAGTTCTTGAAGTTTGAAGAAATTGTGAATTTTAAGGTAATAAATCCGTTAACAGCTGTTACTTTTCCAATTTGCAAGTCTTGATATTGGCTTTTTATCAAGATGGTGATGAACTTTGAGGGTAGTTAATACTTTTATTACATTCTCTCTGGCTTTTCAATGGGTTTTTTTGCATTTCTTTTTTTTTGGCTCTCTCTCTTTCTTATTTTCACTATTCTTGTCATGCCCTTCAAACTCTTGGTTGTAATTACCATCAATGAAAAGTTGGTGTCGATGGATTTAGAGATGAAGTGGCCTTCTCTCGAGGTAGCCCACACATGAGGCAATTTCATTCGCCGAACAGGCTATGGGAGGGAGAAGCTTCCTCCGGTCGTTAGTGAAACAGTGAAGGAGTGAAGAATGGAGGAAGATGATTAGAGAAAGATATTTGGAGGATTTTTAAAGATTTTTAAAAATTTTCAATTTAAGTTACACCAAATACATGATAGGATTTTTTACAATCGCAAGGATATTGAGAGGATTTATAATCCTACTTTATTCTATCATATCCCAATCCAAATTCAGACAACCAAACGCAATCTTAGGAACATGTTAAGGTCCGGATATGACGTCCGACGACAAGCCCATATAAGCGAAGCCATCATATCGCAGGCACGGACAAATAGTTTAGACCAGACAGGTCCAGCAGGACCCACTTAGAGCAATCAATGGGAATTTAATCGTTATTAATTAGGCTCGAGAAAGGATTTAAGGCCTGACTGACACTGACCCTAAACCAACCATCGATCCATTTTTTTCTGGGGCCTGTGGCAAACCCACCTATTGGTTAGGCCCATTTGAGTTTTCCTGAAGGGTCGCATGCTTTTGGGTTTTTGCCAGGCAATATCGATATCGTTGCCTCATGTTCCGATGTAATCAACAACGAGACCAACAAGAACAGTTTCATCTGTGAAAGAAGAGAATGGAAAGATGCGTTAACTTCGAATCTTAGGAAAGAATTTCGTGCAGCGATAAAAACCTGTGAAGTTAGAATCAACAAGAATTCTTCGTTAATGTTTGGAAATTGCAACATATAGATTTTGTCTGTCGTGATATTTGCTTGTAAGCCACCAATTCGTATTCTGACCCGCTCTCGACCTTGCTAGATTCAAACTGCTATCTTTCACATTCTCTATGTCCTTCCTGGCTAACGCTCAAGTGTTTGCAAAGAAAAGTTGATCTGACATTCTACTTGCCCTTTGATCATAATAACATCTTTAGACTTAATTTCCGCGTTTTACCATTTATAAAGTGGCGATAGTGCGTGCGATTTGCAAAAGCAGCCAAATAGCCAAATAACAAAGTGGTCCAACAATAAATAATCGTCTGAGACACGAGAGAAGAATCAGCGCCTTCTGCTGCAGTAAGTAAATAATTAATATATAAGCCACAAAGTAAATAGGAGTATTTGTCCAGGTCCTGTGCAGAATGTTTCACTCGATCTGGATCAGTACGAACGAAAAGAAAGATGCATCGCGAACATGGTGGAAGGTTTGAGAGTCTGAGGGTCCATAATTAGCACTACTTTATCTTTTTACTAGGTGAGAGAACAAGCGACTTGAAGACGCTAGAGTTCTCCAATGTCTCTTTTCCTCTTTCCAACAAGACCCAGAATGCTCGTGCAAGCTCTATATAAACACCACACGTCCTTGCTCAGCTCTCACCAGAATCATCCGACAACGTTCATTCATACATTGCAGAATCATCTCAGTTTTCCAGAATTCTCTGATCAGTGATCACAATGTCGCTCATTCCCAGCATCTTTGGAGGCCGCCGAACCGACGTCTTTGACCCATTCTCTCTAGACATTTGGGACCCTCTTGATGGCCTCTTCACCTCCTCGCTCACTAATATGCCTGCCTCGGCTCGCAAAACTTCAGCATTCGCGAATGCACGAATTGACTGGAAAGAAACTCCAGAGGCCCACGTGTTCAAAGTGGATGTTCCGGGGCTGAAGAAGGAGGAAGTGAAAGTTGAGGTGGAAGAGGGGAGAATCCTTCAGATCAGTGGGGAGAGAAGCAAGGAGAAGGAGGAGAAGAATGATAAGTGGCACCGGGTTGAGAGGAGCAGTGGGAAGTTCATGAGGCGGTTCCGCCTCCCAGAGAATGCAAAGATGGACCAGATCAAGGCAAGTATGGAGAATGGGGTGCTCACTGTGACTGTGCCTAAGGAAGAGGAGAAGAAGCCGGAGGTGAAGTCCATTGATATCTCTGGTTAATCCAGGAGTGTGTTGTGCTAATGCAATGCAATATGCAATGCCACGAACACAACTCTATGAGTTGTGAATAAATGATTTGCTTGTGTGTTTCATTGTGTGCTCGTGTTCTAGTATATCCAAAAATATGTAATCAGCTATCACTTTTTTAGTGAAAATAATTCAACCTTGAATCGTTTGAGTTCTTAGAAAGTTCCTCATATTTATCTCAGGTTATGTAGCAAGCTCAATAAAACAGACGAAGTAAATGGAAAAAGGGGAAAATTGGAAAAGGAGGTTCTATATTTTCAGAGTATTGTTAGAAATTTCATTTCTTGCCATCAGCTTACTATTATAAAGTTCATATTTAGATGGGTCAGACCCTAAGAAAAAAAATCTCCGCATCAGCTCTTCCTTTTTACTTCAACTCTTTGATAAATAAATAAGATACCAACAAAACTCTAGAAGAGCGCAAATTTACTTTAATTCTATAGTGGATGAGTTGAGAGATCAGAAGGTGAACTGCGTATAAATATCCTTCACTGTACAATCCCGAAAGGTCAGTGATAGAATTTGTCAGAAGCAGGCACAGTTCCTTACGTATCAGAATTGCAGTAAGAGCAACAAATTCAGGTGACTTACGTTGCTGTGCTTCCATCGTCAGGAGAAGCATAGGTTATCTGTTGTTTTTATGATAGGAACTCTCTAATGTTCCCCAGGATGCCCTTATCATATGGGTTCCGGAACGCCAAGTTAGTAGAACTTTGCCCTAGATAAGCAAATGATGAAACAGTTAAGACAAACAAAGAATCTCTCTCTAAAAGTTTGGGAAGAACCATCGAGCTGATGGAATAAGAAAAGCAAGTAAATTTACCTTGTTCAGATTTAACTTTGTGTTGAAACTCTGGATACTTCGTCCAGTTTATCTGAAAAAGATGCATGCCAGGATGATGCGTACTCCAGAATTCATCCAAGTAAAAAGAAATATGTTCAGGAGAAAGTGCCCCACTGATTGTGCACTTACCCACTCATCAGTTCTAATGTTGAAACATATGCAGTATATATGCTACATTAAGAATATACCCTGCACGACAAAAACAAATTATACGCTCGCACAATACCATTACATGTTGCAAGAAGTTACTGATAAGAAACTTGCACACAAGCAAAAAATTAGACCTGCCATATCAATTGGAGCAGAGAAAACAGCAATCCACCAATGACCAAGTCTGCCTCCATATTACTCTGAAGCCATAAAAAGATGGTTTTAGAAGGTCACTAAGTCATTCGATGAGCCATTTGTACTTTATACAATTCAAAAGATGCTCAAACTGCAATTACTAACCTCCAATCTAGTTTGGTACGGAATTGAAGATTTAGAAGCAACTGACGGTCAGCAGACAGATGCACAAGACAGGAAAAAGAACACGTGAAAGGCTGGAAGATGAATAATTTCTAACAAGTAAAGCATGACTAGTGGAGAGAAAGACCAGCTCCAAGCCTGAAAGGTTAAAAAGAGGAACAACCTTTGCTCTTTGACCAAAGGTAGTGTATACAGCATGCGGAACTATTTACCAATTTTTTAAATGTACACAGAAGTTAACTTTTATTTGTCTTGAAGAAACCTATGTATCACAGCTTTGGAACGTTTCTAACCTGAGACATGAGTAAATACAGTGTGCCGGGTTACAATTGTCCTTCAGGAACCTATATATTGCTTAAACCTTGATTGGATGAAGATGGATGCCTCCTCACATACCCTAATTTATTTAAGACTATCTCAGCAATAAATGACCAATTTCTCTGTCTGTTCATCCATTAATCTGCAAATAATGATTGCATATCTGCCAAATAACGAGCAATACCAGCATTTATATGGAGTAGCACTGGCAGATACATATGCAAATGATTAGCTTGGGAAATTTAATGGCATATAGTTTGGTCTAATATCAAAAATTTTCTTTCATAATCTAGGCTCACTTCACCTGCAAAATCATTCTGACCCCAGCTCAAACTCCAGGGGGAATGTCCCAGTGCTAATTTAATGTATATAAAGAGTTGGATAAAGTCAGGCAGCATTAGCCAAACTTACACTTAGATGAGCTGGCTACAAAAGAAGACTCGGTGATAAGAAATCCAGCCAAAAGAGCCATGAAAAGGAAATAGTTATTCTGACCTGCATAGCGATGCCAACACCAATGTGATGCGGAGGAAATGTGCTTCATGATTATAGGTAAGAATGATGAAGAATAATTATATCAAGGAGTCTCTTAAGAGTTCAATTGCAAAGTGGAGCTTACCATTACCTATACAATTTCCAAACGCAGGGCAATGGTGGTCAAACCCTTTGATATAGGCCTCGCAAATTCTACAATATCTTACTCTTCCCAACAAAGAGCTAGTCTGAAAAAGAAGACAGGGCGGACAACGTTTAGATAACTGAAACTTTAATTCCTCTGCACGTATGGTATTGCCAATTAAGTGATAATGACATGTGCTACTGCTAAGTAATGGATGGAATGAGTCAATTGGAAAAATAGATCGCAACCAAGTATAATCACATGTTTAGTCACTTCACAATTTGCAGTACCTCACTGACTTCAGAGATGGATCCATCACAAAGTTCACTTGATAAGGAAGTCCAGGAGTTACACGACCAGGATCTCTTTTAAAAATACTGTATTTATATACATGATTATCAGCATAGAATCAGTCACCACAGATATCAGCACAAGCATCCAAATAAAAACAGGTCAGAATGAATTAATTTACACAGGTGTTAAAAGTTGGAGGAATAGAGAGGACCAACCTGCAAAGACCAATTATCAGCATGGCAACCTCTCCATGGAACAAAATATCCATCAACAGTGGAACCTCTCCATGGAACAAAGACCGAGGGCTCGAAGCGGTGGAGGTTTTCTTCAGATTGATGGGTTCAGGTATTCAGCCAAATGAGTATAGCTTCGTTGCGATTCTGACCGCTTGTATACGGCTCACTGAGTTGGAGCTAGGTTTGCAAGTCCATGCTTTGGTGGCTAAAACGGGTTATTTAGAAAGCGTTTTCGTTTCGAATGCACTTATGGGTATGTACAATAAATGCGAGTGTCTGGATTCCGTTCTTGAATTGTTTGACGAAATGCCTAAGAGAGACATTGCTTCCTGGAATACTGTAGTTTCGGGATTGGTGAAGGCCCAAATGTACGAGAGGGCATTTGAATCTATTCGGCAAATGGACCAAATGGATGGTTTTAGAGTTGATTATATGACTCTTTCTGCGGTTTTGACTGCCTGTACTGATGCTGGTAGTTTACTTAGACGAAAAGAAATTCATGCTCATGCCATCAGAATTGGTATGGAGACTGACTTGAGTGTGAACAATGCACTTATCAAATTTTATATAAAATGTGGAACCATAGATGATGTGGAGACCTTGTTTGAGAAGATGGCCACGAGGGATATTATCACTTGGACAGAGATGATTAGAGCCTATGGGGAGTTTGGGTCGATTGATATGGCTATGGATATGTTTCATACAATGCCAGAGAAGGATTCTGTTTCTTGCAACGCCCTTTTGGCAGGACTCTGTGAAAATGGCAAAGCTTTTGAAGTGCTAGATTTATTTATTAGTATGGTGGAGGAGGGCTTGGAATTGACTGACTACACCTTAACTACTGTTGCTAAGGCCTGTAGGTTGCTTGGGGCACGGAAACTTAGTGAGCAGTTGCAAGGGTTTATTATCAAGTTTGGTCTCCTGGCAAATGCTTGTGTTGAAGCAGCTTTGCTTGATATGTGCACTCATTGTGGGAGGATGGTGGATGCTGGAAAGATGTTCAAACGTGGCCTTTTGAGTGGGATGGCTCTATCATATGTACTTCGATGATATGTGGGTATGCACGCAATGGGCTGCCGGATGAGGCAATGTCACTATTTTGCCGTTATCGAGCAGAAGGGAGCATAATTCTTGATGAAGCTGCATCAACTTCAATGCTCGGTGTTTGTGGAACTCTAGGGTCTGATAGGATGGGTGAGCAAATTCACTGTCATGTTCTTAAATCTGGATTATCTTCAGATTTAGAGGTAGCAAATGCGTTGATCAGTATGTACTTCAAGTGTTGGAATATGGATTCTGCTAAAAAAGTCTTTAACATTATGCCTGCACATGATGTAGTTTCATGGAATGGCTTGATTGCGGGGTTCATCATACATAAGCGGGGAGATGATGCCCTCACAGTCTGGTCAAACTTACACAAAGCAGGGATAAAGCCTGACAAGATCAGCATCCTTTTAGTTATATCAGCTTACAAATATACTAAACTTTGTTTAGTCGATGATTGTTGTAGATTCTTTTCATCCATGCAAACAGAATTTGATATAGAACCTTCACAGGAGCATTATGCATCATTTGTTGGTGTTTTAGGAATCTGGGGATTTTTTGAGCTTGCAGAGAAAACAATCAGCAATATGCCTTTTGAACCAGAGGCTTCAGTCTGGCGAGCTTTGCTTGATGGATGTGGAATCCATTCCAATGCAATTCTTGGTAAAAGAGTTATAAAGCATTTACTTTCAATGGAACCACAAGATCCTTCCATCTATGTGCTTGTTGCAAATCTGTACTCTGCCTCTGGAAGATGGCATTGCTCTGATACAGTGAGGAAAGAAATGAGAGTCAAAGGGTTTCAGAAACAGCCTTCACGGAGTTGGGTCATCCATAAAAACGAGACAATATCATTTTATACAAGAGATAAGTCCCATTCCCAAGCCAAGGACATCTATAGCGGGTTGGAAATCCTAATTTCAGAATGCCAAAAAGCTGGGTATGTGCCTGACACAAGTTTTGTTCTCCATGAAGTTGGAGAACAGCAGAAAAAGGATTTCTTGCTCTATCACAGTGCAAAACTTGCTGCAGCATTCGGGCTTTTGATGAATAGACCGGGAAAACCCATCAAGATTGTAAAGAACATCAGCCTTTGTGAGGACTGCCATCAGTTCTTGAAATACACATCAGCCATCACAAATAGACAAATACTCTTGCGGGATGCTTCGGGATTTCACTACTTCTCAGGTGGGCACTGCTCGTGCGACGACCGATGGTAAAGCTCGTGCAGGTTATGCTCTCACGTCTTTTGCTCAAAGTGTTGTGGTTGTCTTAAGTATATTTGCATCATAGAATTTATTTAAGCTTTTTGAAGAAAGAGTAGAATGTACAATTGATTTAATACCTCCCAATAAAAGAAAGGGATGGAAGACAGCAAAAAACATCAGATCAACTTTCAAGAAGGGAAGTCTTTTACAACATCTTTTAGTGTTATGCAGCTTTTAATTAATTGGAATACAGGAGTTGAAAAATTATGAGAAAAAATTAATGTCCTTGAAGAAAAGCTGTTTCTTTTTTTTTTTTGGACCAAAAAAAAATACACGAGGTAATGTTTTTAGTTGGTTCTTTTGAAGAGCTAAATATGTACACCCCAATGTTCTTGCACCTGCTAAAATTACCTACGCTAAAAAAAAAAGAACCCCTGAAACTTTCAATGAGAGCTTTCCATTGAGCCCAATGTTGTTAGGTGAATCGCAAAATCATAGATCTGAGATTTCAAGTTTATGAATGGGGCGTAGTTTTGGTAACTTATTACCTTCAAAAATCATTATTTATCTTAACTTAGAGGTCTGTTAATTTCATTCGATTGTAAGACCTCTAGGTATGGTTTTCCTCTCTGGGATCTTTCTTTCGGATATCGGAAGGTTTGACCGAAATTTGACTAACAATTACTCCCTTGTTCGACATTCCTTCGGAACCGATTTTTGTTGTGTTGGGATGCTAGCAATCTCTAATCGCGAGATGTGCAATTGAAATCAAGAATTCGTAAACTTCCCATTACCGTGGAAAACATACAACTGGTTTGAAGGATAAAAAAGTTGACCATAAGATTGGGGTGGTAAAATGGGTGTGAAAATATTCGTTTTGATGAGTAAAAACCATTTTTGATGTTTAATATGTGCTTTGGCTCTTGTATCTCGCTGATAAATGTTTGCTCAAGAATTTAATGATTTGAAAAAACTGGAGGTAAAATTTGAGGTGACGAACACCTATGTTTTTTGTAGTTTCATGAGAATATTATATGGTCTAATTTTATGTTGAGTTGGTGTCTATGTTATGGCGTGGTTTGCATTAAGCTGAGTAACCATTCTCAATGACAGTTATGTGGATGAGTAAGTTCCCTTTCTATGTGGAACACCTCAGAACAAGCTAAATCAAAACCAAAATCACGAATAAAAAAGCACAAAAGAGGTGGCGAAAAGCTTCAGCTATCATTATCAATAACATTTGCAGTCGAGGGCGGCTCTTTGGCTGAGCGTCAGCCTCAGCCTCGGTCTCAGCCTGTACCTGAACCTCGACCTCGGCTTAGGCACCGCCTAAGCCTCCTGCTGCTGCTCAACGAAATGGCTCAAAAGCTCAACCAATTGAGCAGCCTTTCGTTTCCCTCTCTCTGTGCCATTTTGTGCCAAATCCACCAGTGGCTCCATGATTCCCAGTTCCTTTGCCTCTAACAGAGGATGCTGATCTCCAGCACAAAGATGCACCAAAACAGCAGCAGCGTTCTCCTTGTTCCTAGGAGAATCAACGCGAATCAATTCTACAAGAACCGGCACTACCTTTGCAGCGCCAATGGCAGCCCTCCCTTCAGCATTACTGGCTAATATTGCCAGTATAGCGAGTGCCTCATCCACCATCCTGCCTCCAGGTTCAGTTAGAAGCTGCATCAGGGTGGGTACAATGCCAGCCCTGACAGCCTTCCCCTTGTTACCTAGATAAATGCACAAATTAAAAAGAGCTGTTGCAGCATCCTTCTTCCCCCTTTGGGTTCCTTCATTTAGAAGCAACACGAGTGGAGGTATCGCACCAGATGCACCAATCGTTACTTTATATTCATCTACAACTGAGAGACTGAAGAGTGTGGCCGCTGCATTTTCCCGTGCTACCATATTCCCAGTCCTCAGAACATGGAGTATGCCTGGTACGGCTCCAGAGGAGACAATATTTCCTTTATTCTCATCGCATATTGAAAGGTTGAGAAGAGCAGTGACAGCATGCTCTTGAATGCGCGAGTCTGGAGTTGAAAGAAGGTGTACGAGGAAGGGAATCGCACCTGCTTCAGCAATAGCCACACGGATATCTCTATTATACTTCGCAAGAAGGCGAATCTCACCTGCAGCTGACCGCTGTTCCTCAGGATTGCCAGAAGCAAGTTTGCGCACAAGAAGTTCAACCTCAGCGCATTCTGCAGGGAAGCTGGCTGAGATGGTTTTAGTGGGTCGAGAGCTGCTTGGAGGTCCTGGTGGCTCAATGCCGTTAGCCTCACACCATTGAGCTATAAGGCTGCAAAGGACATTGTTGGGTGTAAGAGTTGTGTTAGAAAGGGTTTGCTGTGTCCTTGGACATGTTCTATGACCCGCTTCTAGCCACTCCTCAATGCATGAGCGTTCATAGGTCTGCAGCAGGATAAAGAGTGATCAGTGCATGAGGACTGTGAATATGTGCAAACATATCCACGCATGCGCCCACGAGAGGGGGGGGGGGGGGGGGGGGGGATAGCCTGCTCAAAAGGTAGAAGTTTTTGCATTTTTTAACATATGCTAATAGAATGCTAAAAATTTTATGCTAATACGGGCCTATAATGCTATATACTACGGCAAAAAAGGACTGTTGGTCCATACTTAACTACCTCCCTAGTCCTTTTTTAACTATCTCCCATCAGACTTAGAATACATTGGTTTGACAAGTCCATAAGATACAGTTGGATTCCCATAATAGTGCAACTGCAACGTCCGTCATGAATCCACAGCGAAGGAAGAACCAGTAATGCACATACCTGGCCTGTTGACACTACAACGGGATCCTTCATCAACTTCAAGGATATTGGGCAACGGAAAAGATCTGGGATGACCGGTGTTTTTTTATTGCCATCGACTGATGACCCGCTGGAACTGGGAAGAACGTTCTTTGCGCCGGTAGGCGGAACCATGTCAAGTTTCTCTGTCTGCACAAAGGCTTTAATTTGGTCCAGTAACATTGATATTCTCACAATGCTCTCCCCTGGATCTCCACCACTTGCACAAACCATCTCATGTAGAGCCAGTGACTCCTGCTTAATGTCAGCGATCTTCATTAACTCTAGCTTTTCAGCCAATCTCCTTAAGACAGCTTGATCCGGAGCTGTGTCACTACTCTGGTAATAAAGGGCTAAGAGCTCTTCATTCAAGTCGACATCAGATGAATTGACTCCTCCTTTAGCTCCTCTAAATTGTCCAAGGACGAGCTCAACCTGGAAGCCAAAAGGTTAGATTCTCTTGATTGTAGTATCGAAACTAAAAACTCAAGGTTAAGGGTTCCAATGTCCTAGAAGAGAAGTATTCTTAACATGTACAAATTGGGGATAAACAAGGTTTGAAATAGATAAAGTCCACAATTCTGTGGCTAATTTTTCCGTCAGGTTTTTTTGTTGGTGTATTTTCACTGGTACCGGCCGGCATGTGCAAGGGTCTATGCAACAAGTAGATTGCACCAAAATTATGTGAACATCACCAAGAAAATAACATACTCCATGCAGTCTGATTGTAACCATGTCCCAGATAACTGAAAAGAACAAACTTTTGAAGATGACGTCTTACCTGCTCCTTGACTTCATCTGATATGTGCAGGTTTTCATATGAAATTCTACTTAGAGCTTGTTCCAGTTGGGAGGTCACCTCATGATAGTTATTCATGATCTGCTCCCTTTCTAAGACCTGTAAGAGGAGCAAAATATACAGTTTAAGAAATGCAAAATTTAAACAGGAGAAATTCATGAAAGAATCATGCGTTGACACTTATTAGACGGCCCTTCTTTGATCCTTCCTCCAGAGAAACGGAATGACTTATTTAGCAGCAGATAAGTGTATATCCAAGCCCTGTTGTAGTGCAATTAAACGAGTCACATTTGGTTGACACTTTGCACGAGTAAGACTTCATAAAATTTACAGAGACGAGACCATTCAACAATGAATATTTCAACTACCAACCGGCAACCCTTCTTTCCCTAATGGCAATTCCACCATAAGCTAGACACATCTCCAGGGTTCAGACAATGATTGGAAAGCTGCTTAAACCTTCATGAACTTTACAATAAGCAGGATGTTCTCGTGCAGTGGAGGCATAAGGCATTCAAAGAAGCAATGCTACTGAAATCCCAAGAAGAGCCAATATGTTCCTTCCTCTTTGGTCTTTCAATGCCAACCGAGAACCATAAAATCAACCTCGGCCATTAAGAGTAGCGGCAAATTTCTACTATCATCACAAGCTGCTAAGCAAATAGATGTAGCCCATGCTTTCCAGGGTCCCTCACATGGAGATGTCCAAACATATTAATAACAAGTATGTAATGCACTCCTCTTGGCATTTGATGCTACTCATAATAACTGAGACCGATGCTCTGATTTTGCATCCTCTGTCCTCAGACAATACGACACTGCTTCCGTCTGAGTACTTTTTTGATAAAGGCGTATTAAATACCACCTGTTCTACCTCTAGGGGCTCCCTCTTCAAGCTAAGTTGCAATGCTCTGCTCCTATTGCAGACTCTCAGCTCAAATTTTCACTGATAGCTTCTCGTTTATCAGAAGTCGATCCAAAAAGTAAAAACTCCACTGAAATTTAACGTCAAACCAGTGTGAATGGGGATGCAACAGGATAAAAAAATATTACACCAAAAAATTGACTATCCAAAGATCACAGAGAAATTGCGAGCACACACCGCGTAAAATTTGCTGCCTTCTCTCCCGAACTTCAGCAGCTCCTTCGCGGAACTCAAAGCTTCCATGAGCGCGGCAAGAGCTCCAATCGTCCCTTCGGGCATTGGCTCCTTGCTGTCCTTAATCTCTTCGAACAATGGAGTCAACAGCTTCAGTCTCGTGGCCAGATTGCGGTACCGCTTCTCGACCGTGCCCCTGTAACACGAGATGGAAGCTATCTCATCGACGGCATCAATCATGCTCTGAGCCAACGCTCCTCTGTGCTCCTCCTCCATGACTCACTCTCTCAGTTGGGTGGAGAAGAGAAAACGCGCTGCCCGCGAGAGTCCTGGAGGAATGAACCAATTGACCTTATTCAGAGCACGAGAGATTTCCGTGCGCTAAGGTTGGAGAGATGGGAGGGCATCGCTGTCGCAGGCCATGCGGGACACCATTTGAAAGAGAGAAGCTCTTTGGGTCTTTTTCAGGGTCAAAAGCTCTTTCGGTCTATAGGAATAGAAGATGAAGCCGAAGATGAAGACCAAGACGAAGACTCCTGTTAGCATGAACGCTCCGTCGTTCATTGGCGCCACCAGCTTTTCAAGTCAAAAGCTGGAAACTATAAGCCGACAGGTTTTCTTGTTTTCACCGATTCTTTAATTTATTCGAATAATGCTGACTAGCCAATTTACTCGTGCGCCACATGGAAGTAATAATTTATTTTTCATCTTACGAATTAATCTTCACTGGTGCATTGTACGTTAAAAATTCACAGCTAGAAAGATTATACTAATTAATATAGAATCATATAAGCAATCTTAATTTTTCGAATTCAAATGTCATTGACGGTGACCATTCAATAAGTTCCTTCAAGTGGAGTTAGACATATGAAGAATGTATTTCACACATTGGGTAGTCCTAACTAAATGAATTCGGATAACGATATCGCCAACTTTGTGCTCAAAATGAGAAAAGTACTATTTAACTCGAAATTAGCTATATCAAACTAAATATTGAAATACCCAATAGACATGCAGCCATGCTAGGTAAGGGATTGGAGGGTAGGGACGCTAGTATCACAGGTGCGGGGTTCGATTCCTGCGCTCTGCATGAGACAGAACAAAAGTTAGAGAGTAAGGTGGATTAGAAATATGGCAGACAAAAAAAAATTAAATATTGAAATTGCACAATGCCCAATATATTAACTTTCCAAAAAAAACGGTTATTTACTGATTTTTTTGTCAGTACTTACAATATTAATTTCAGAAAACTCGTCTGCCTAAATAAAATTAAGGAAAAATTTCAAATTAGTACCCAAAGTGGGGTCATTTTCTCAAAAAAGGGTCCAAAGTGGACATAATGTCAAATAAAGGCCTGAAGTGCCCAATCAGTCTCAAATAGGGGTTCGAAGTGCCCAATTAGTCTCAACTAAGGGTCTGGGTTCGCCGGCCGGTCAAATACTCACCGATCGGCAAGCACGTCACTGTTTCGATCGGCGGAATAGTGACAATTTCGTCTTTTACCTTCTTCTTTTTTCTCTTTTTCTTTTTTTTTTCTTTCCCTTTTCTTTTTTTTTTTTTTCTCTTTTCCCTCCGCCGGCCATAGTCGGGGCTAGCAGAGGTTGCCGGCCTTAGGCAGAGGCCACCCTCGCCGGCGTCGAGCGAGGGAAACCCAAGGTCGCCCTCATCGGTATCGGGCGAGGGTCGCCTCGCCTGGGCTAGGCGGGCGAGGGCGACCCTCGCCAGATCTGGTGAGTGCACGGGAGGAATCGCCAGGACTTGAGGATGGAAACTAAAGCTGCAAAATTTAACGTTGTTGTTCTCTGCTCGGCACTTGGTTTTTTTGCTGTGCCCCGCCCGGTGGGTCGGCGCCAACATCCTCCCGTGCTCTCGCCGAATCTGGCGAGGGTCGACCCTTGCCCGATGCCGGCGAGGGCGACCCTGGGTTTCCCTCGCCCGACCCCGGCGAGGGCGGCCTCCGCCTGAGGTTGGCAACCTCCGCCGGCCCCGGCTATGGCCGGCAGAGGGAAAAGAGAAAAAAAAAAAAGAAAAGGAAAAGAAAAAAACAGAAAAAGGGAAAAAGAAGAAGGTAAAAGACGAATTGTCACTGTTCCAGCGGTCGGAACAATGACGTGCTTGCCGACTGGTGAGTATTTGATCGGCCGGCGAACCCAGACCCTTAGTTGAGACTAATTGGGCACTTCGGACTCCTATTTAAAATTGATTGGGCACTTCAAGCCCTTATTTAATACTATGTTCATTTTGAATTTTTTTTTTAGAAAATGACCTCGCTGTGGGTACTGATTTAGAATTTTCCCTAAAATTAATTTGTGTAAGCGCTATGGTCAGAAAGCAAGCCTTCTTTTTCTCTTTTCCGCTTAAGTGAAAAAGGGCGAGTCATTGCTCGTCTCGTCTGCCTTCCGCAGCTCCGCTTCCCTCGCTCGCCTCAGCCTGTTGCGATGGCGTCTGAGCCGGTGTTGTGCGAGTATTTGCCGGCGAGATGAAGGAATCGGAGCAGGAAAAATGGCTGAAATCGACGACCAGAAGACGCGCGACACTCGCCGGAGCTCGATCGGACGTTGCATTGCTTCCGGCATCTCCGTCTTCCTCACTCAGTTCACCATCGCTCTGATTCCTCACTTCCTCCACGCCTCTTCGCTCCTCATTCAGCTCGCCCTCTCAGGTCTCTCTCTCTCTCTCTCTCTCTCGCTCTCTCTCTGCATAGTTCGGATTTCGCGAGATGCGAATCGCATGCTGGTTTCGCTTGTCCTGTGCAGCTCTGGTGCTCGTGGTGGTTTTGGGATTGGGAGGGAGGTGCAGGCGAGTTCTCGGAGTCTATGCATCGGCCCCTGCCTTCGTTGTTATGAGCATCGTATACATCTGCGAGTCCTCTGTGCGAGAAGAGGACTCGCAGGGACACACACCCACCCACGCACAGAAGAGAGAGAAAGCGAAGGACTTTTCTTTTTATTTTTATTTTTAAATTTAATTAGTTTATTAATTAATTTAATCGCGGGGATTAGGAGAAAAATCAAAGCGGCAGCGAACGGTGGGGTTAGGGGCTAGATTCGTATTGGAGGCTGGATCTGCCCGGAGGGGGGGGCAGGCAGGGGAGGCTGACCGTACCGGCGACCGCGACTGTTCTGGGCAGCGGGCAGGGAGGAGGAGTCAGATATTTTTTTTCGCGCGGGGCCGTTGAATGGAATTCTTAAATCTCCCTCGATTCCGCGTTAGATTAAAGTCCGAGACCGCCTCCTAGATTTTACTGTTACGGTCCTTGTCCGAAAAACGGACCCCGTGCTTTCTTCTGGTTTGCCACGGCTCTTTTTCTCCTTTTTCCTCTCTTTTTTTTTTTTTGTTTCTTCTTACTTTTAAGGTACGTTTGCTTCGCGAAAAATGAGTAATTTAAAAAATATTTTTTAAAAAATAATTGCTTACACCATTTATAAAAATTGGCCAATTGAAAAAATTTTCATCCCTGTTAATTAAATAACGGCAAAATGTTCAGTAGAGTTGGAATGAAAATCATTTCCTAGCCTTGGCTTGCTTTTTCTTTTTTTTTTCTTTTGTATTTTCGATAGAGATTTGATAATAAAATCGAGCATTTGCGTGTCGATGAAATTGGTGTGGGAAGGAACACTAGTTTCGGGTTCTGAGCGGGAACGTGGCGTCGGAATATTTAAATGTAAAATCACATCTCCAGATAACAGTTTAAATTTTTGGAACGGTCGGCGACGATCCCATGAAAATCTTTTATGCTAATCTTTCGTGTCATCATAACAGGAGGCCCGAGTACGGATTTTTCCAGTCCCCTTTTTTGTCTCTCCCATTATATATTTTTACTCATAAATTGCGTTCGTTCCGCAGAAAATGAATAATTTGAAAAATAATTTTTTTTCTAAAAAACGATTGCTTATATCGCTAATAAAAAAAATGAACGGATAAAATATTCAATGTCCATAAAAATGTTCAAGCATAAATAGTTATCAATGATGAAAATATTTTTTGTCAGTTAATTCGAGCAATACGAGCAGTCATTTTCAGGAAAGTGATTTCTGAATCATTTATTTTCCACAAAATAATAAATGCAGCCTAGTTGGCAGTGTCCTGCAAAGTTTTGCACATACGATGTTATTTCTAAATTTGTCCTTACTTTTTTCCTTCCACTTGACATTTAATTACAATGCTTCTATTATCAGCTAATCTCTCCACACGACCAAGATTAAAGAAACTAATTAAAGAAACTAAAGCACCCTCCTTTCGTCTTTTTCTACACTCCATGTGATCTCTTCCTTTATTCCTCAAAATTTCTTAGTCCGCACGTGCGAACGCACCTTTATAGATATTTTTAGATAATTACTCGATGGGCATCAAATATTACTTGATTAGTGGGCGGGGCCGATCGTACAAATCGGTGCATGAGCGGCTCAAAAGTCCCTGGCGATCTTATTCTGTGGGAGGGGGTAGAAGTGGAATTTCGGGTTGTTTATTTTAAATTTGACCCCGTGTTTTTTGGACGTCTGGCTGGCCAATGAGGACGCGCCTTTCGGAAGACTTCCGCCTTGGATGGTGGTGGCGCCGGCGGCGGCTGCAAAGGGGAGGTGGGTGTACATGTCAAAGGCTCCCGGTGGCGCCTCCAATTAACCTCCTCCAAATGACCCAAGTTCATGCTTTTTTCTCTTGCGCATGCTGAACAATAGTTTCAAGAATTAGTAAATTATACCAATATCATAGAAATTTAATACATAATTAGGCATAAGTCGAAGAACTAGTAAACCATTCCGACGCTAGGGAAATATACAATACAAGAAACGGTACGACGAGTCAAACATTCGAGAGCAATTCCCTCGCCGTCAGCAACTTCTTCGCGATCTAGCTCTATCACTCGGTAAATTAGTCTTCGTATCCGACATTATTTGGCCCTTGCGCAAGAGCCGTGAACGTGGATGGCTGGAGTTGAACCCAGGAAGATGGTGCACCGAAACGACTTTCGGTGCACAGGAGGGGGCTTGAGGAAGCCTGCAGACAAAGAAAAACATTTGGAGAAGGATGTGGGAAATAATGGATTTTAAGTCCTTGGAATCATACAACAAGCAAGGCATAAAATCTCAAACTACCATTGGCGATCTTGGCGATGGTTGGCGCTTTCCGGGGTAAAAAAAAAAAGCCTTTCCTGTCAAGCCAAACACTTGCATTTCACCCTTTTCTCTTTTCCTCCTCTTTCCCCTGTTTCTGAACAATCTTCAAATTTGTCGAGCAAGTAAACGTCTTCTTCTACCAGCTTTTTCTGGAGAATCGCCTCGAAGTGTTGCTGTCCAAGCAAACGCTGTCGCTTAGGAATTTATCTTTGTTACACTGTCATCTCAACCTTCCATCTATGTCTTTAATAAAGAGAAGACAGGCTTATGGTGAACTTCTCCGCGTTATCATTTTAATCTTCCCGTCGTGTCCTTCAAAATCACGTCCCCGGTTTCCTTGTGTGCATATCATGTCTTTAATAAAGGGAAGACGGCTTATACTTAACTTCCCGTGTTATGGCGTTACTTTTTGCGTCGCGTCCTTTGAAATCACGTCTCCGGTTTCCTTGTGCGCATATCAATTCATCAGAGTCAAGTAAATGCCATATGACAGTGTCTAGGTGAATCTGTGTGAATATTTTGCTGGTGCATGCGACTGCAAGTAGAACTGGGTGCTCAACTATTCTTTCATTTTTTATTCCATGTTTCTTGAATT